GGTAGAAAAACAACCCAAGAAGAAAGGTTTAAGGGAACCGAAATTGGGAGTTATTACTAAACATGATATTGAGTTAATTAAGTCTATTATGTGACAAGTTGTGATTAATACTGTACATTTCTATATATGTACAAATTCTAAAATATGTAACTATTACTAAACGGTCCGGTCCAATTTAATCTACGGATTTTGAACATGAAACCGTAAACCAAACCGTTCATTCCGGTTTCTAAATTTTGAAACCGCTGATTTTAAAATAAAACTTTAAAACTAATCCAAAACCCAAACTGCGGTCCAGATTGACCAGTTTGACCGGTTTGAATCAATCCGTGCACACCCCTATTTATAGGAATTGTTGCTGTGAATTGAGCATATGTTATACTCCCTCTGTCCCATAATTATTGTCCAGTTTTACTAAACTGAAAGATTTTATTTTTTGTCAAACTTAACTATATTTTACCTTAAACAACCGGATATACCCCTACATAAGTAATTGTTTAACCACTAAGATTTTATGGATAATATTTTTTACTAAGGACAAATGTGTAACTGGATCCATAAAAAGTCAAATTGGACAATAATTTTGAGACAAAATTTTTTGGGCAAAGTGGACAATAATTATGGGATGGAGGAAGTATAAGTTACTTATTTCCAAATTTTGTGTTATCTTGAAATATTAAACCTGTTAGTCTGTTACTAGATATTAAACCCACACGATGTGCGGGGTTAATTCATATACATTTATTAAAAATTATTTTAAAACCCACCAAAACGATATTATTTGAGGTAATTTTCCAAAAGCCCACCAATACCATGCTCATTTTTATTTTATTTTTAATTTATACTACAATATCCTCGTTCACCATATTAATTATGAATTAATAAAAATTACTTTAAGTTAAGGAAAACAAAAATTTGAGAAAGATAAACTTTGGAAACATTTTAATGACGTCACTGACCCTAATTAAAGAAAGGTTAAGTTCATTTCATTTTGAATTACCTCAACATATTACAAAATCTTTCGATCTAAGTAACTCTCTTCATCTTCTAGCTTCTACGAGCCCAAATTTTATTTATTATTTTTAAGAAAAAAAAATTTCTGCTTTTAACCAAACTCCTGATTTCCTTCTCCATTCTCCGTCAAGAACGTGAGATTTTAAATCCTCATTCAATACGTATATTTAGCCTTATAATTTTCCAAGTTTATGGATTGTTTATAAAATATTAAAAAAAATACATCAAATGAATAAATTGTAATTCTCAAAAAAGCAAATAAATTAAGATTGCAACGCAATCTATTAAAAAAAAATAGGAATATATGGAGAAGGTAATTGGAGAAAGTAATTGAGATTGTTTAGGGTTAGAATTGATTTGTTTTCATTTAAATATTCTGACATAAGCATATATATTCCTTTTTGAAAAAATAAGGAAATTACGATAGTTGATTTGTTGGCAATAACTATACTACTTACATTTTTTGGCTATGCTTTTGTTGATTTGAAAATAATTTAAGATTTCGTTTAGGTGGAGATCAATACTATTATTTGTCATTGCATGATAGTATGACTATTAATATAATTATATCATTTACATGGAAACGTATTTTTAAATTTTGTTATGTAACAAATAAAAAAAACTGAAAATTAAAAGTTCCACAAATAAAAAATAAAAAAGAAAAACCGTTAGAAATATTAAACAAATCTCCGCTTCCGTCTTGAAATATTTTCAATCCTCCCAATTTCACATATGCAAATCCCAAACTCAGAAAATGTTTATGTCAAATTTATATATGAGGGAAAAATCATTACAATCTCCTGCCTTAACTCTTAGCAGTGTTAATATGAGGCCGATTAATAGAGAAGATCTAAACATCTATATAGGCCGGTATGTCTACAGGTTTTTCCCTGTAGAAATAATCACAAAAAAAAGTACCAAAAGTTATAAATAGGCTAAAGAGTATACAATGCATTTGTGCAAAGATGAAAACCTCGCAATTAATCATAAGGGACCGATGAGACCTACAACCATACTTTAAACTCAAGTATGTTGAGTTGTAGAATAAAAAAATGAATCTACATGTAATATATTGCCTAAAAATTTATGTGAATGAAATTACCGAAAAATAAACAAAAATAAAAAAAAGCGGACTACATCAACGGACCAAGAAAATAAATTGAACAATCACAAACCACAAAAGCATACCTTGGATGTTAGATGTGATTTTGATGCCTTTTATTCATTAGAGATCCTAAAACAAAAATATATATATAAATCACACAGTTATGATCAAATCAATATCAATTAATAAAAAGAGAGAGAATTATTGACAAAGATTTTATGAGAGAAAATGCGTGCTGAGATCCTTGCATGGGTAAAACTAAATTGATTATTTATAGTGAATAAGTAGTTCAACGTGAAATATTGGTTTGATCATATAATTAATGATGATTCATTTGGTCTTATCGTGATAGAGATTTTTTAATTTTATATTAAATAAATATTAGTTCAAATGGAATTGTATGAAAACAACATTAAATCAAAAAAGTAAATAGAATAAGGCAGATTTGAATATTTGAACAAAAGTAAAGTTGGAGAACCACAAATTAGGGAGTGACATCCGTCAATTAATGTTAAGGCATACACCGTCTAGGGTAATGGAATTTATGGACTTTATTAAATTCTATTTTTAAATTTCAAACCGATTTCGTTTATTATGGAATATAAATTCAGTGCATTAATTTAATCAGTCGTGTAATAATTAATTAGGGTATTCAGTATGCACGGAAATTTTTAGAATTAATTTAATAAATAATTCTGACAATAATTGATTGAATATTCTAATATAAAAATTTTAATTATAGATAGTTACAGATATATTTAATATTAATTGATTTAGATAATTATAATGATTGTACTAATATGCTATAACCGACTTTTTGAAAGGCTATTAGTTAAATGCAGAAACTTTTTTTTCTCTAATTTTTTAGAAATTGTCACGTATCCTACGTGGCAACGTAAAAATTTTTTTTGAAACCTCTCTCAGATTTCTCTTTTAGTATAACTAGTGTTTGCCCCACACGTTGTGTGTGTCGTTTAGGATACATATGAATTTAAAGATTTAACGATTATATGACATTTCCAACGGATTGATATATGTATGTGTGTGTGTGTGTGTCTATATATATATACTAGATGCTTGGCCCAGGCAGATGCCCGGGCGCCCCTCTACTTTAATTTTATATTAATAGATAAATGAATTCTTGATTTGGAAAAAATAAAATAGCTACACATTTATTTTTTTTTCTTTTTTAGCAAAAAATAATTTTAAAAATAAAAAAATCATCTGCCAAAGGAGAAAAAAATATTGAAAAGTACAACGATTCAGAAATCATACAAAAGAATATGGACTAATAAAGAGGATAAGTTTATGGAAAAATTTAAATACTATTTTAATTTGATTGATAAATGATAAATGTTAGGAGTTAAAATTGTGTAGCTATTTTTGTAAAGTAGCTTTTGTTTTTCTGGATAAGAATTTTTTTTTTCTTTTAAAAAGGGATGACACGTGGCAGAATGGTTAATGCAATATGGTGCATTTGGAGCCAAAAATTTTTAATAAGAAGTTGCCACATCAACATCCTGTATTCTGCTTTAATAGGGTAAAAGGGATATATATATATATATGTACATTTTTTTCTTTGGTAAAGCCGAGAACCCCACCAGAAATGGGTAAACCCATACCCACTGCAATAACCTGCAAACCACAGTGGGAGGTAAACCACATTAGGCAAGCTCCGGGTAATAAACTCGGGTGCGAAATTAGGGGTTCATTAGTGGGTTAGCTATAACAAGCCCCTAGAGGTGCCAATAGGCAAGGTGAGAGCCAACCCCTCACTTTTTGTTGGAGTTGGGGATCGAACTCATGACCTTCATTTGTAGTAAGTGCGGTTTTACCACTGAACCAACTCCTCATTCGATATACATATATATTTAATGACATATATAATTTTTAATGTCAATATGTTTTGTTATTTTAAGTACATTTGGAATAATTTTTAATGTTTGAATCGTCATCTTTTTTTTATTTTGTTGATTTATGGTTTTTTTTGTATATCGTTTAAAAGTATTATCTTAATTTTTTACAGTTATCTCCCTAACTATTTTTATTCATTCCGTATCTTTTAAACTCCCCCCTCCCCCAAATAGGAAGTTTTCTCATTATTATTTTTCATAAACTTATCTTTATTTTCTATATCTCTTTATGCCTTTTGTAATGTTTCTTTAGAACTTTGTTCGTATATGTTTCCTATAATGTAGCGTTTACATCGTTTTTTCCTTGGTTGCATAGTTTTCACCTTTTTGTATATATTTTAAACGTAATTTACAGTATCATATATTGGTTACACTTTAACACATAACTATAGAAATCAATATTGATTAGTGAATTAGTTTCTCTCATCATAATGGTCGGATTTTTATTTTTTACATGAAATTGATTTTTTAATTTTTCATTTCAGTTAATTATCTTTGGATTTATTACTATTATGCATATTTTTTTCTCAATATGCTTTGAATTTTGTAATGCGTTATTTCTATGCTAAGTATATATTAATGGGGCACAAGATCTATACTCTGTAGGTTGTCAACGTGTGGGTTCTTTTTTATAAAAAAAAAAAAACCTTTTTAAAATTTTTTCGTCATTTTTCCTTTTTTCCTAATAAAATTTACCATAAAGGGATAATTTCTTAGTTACTTTAATTTTAGCTTTAAATTTACAATTTTACATGAAAAAATTGTCATTAAATGATAGAGTGGTGTGATTGTGACATGTGGACTTGACTCTCTAATTTTTTGCCACGTGAATTAGCCTATCTAATTTTATCCCATGGTCCGATTGAAAACTCTAATTTAATATATATTAAAGATACTATAGATATTGCATCAAAAATAAATTTTAAAAAAAATTGTTTATTTACCTTCCAAAAAAGACCTACCCAATTTCACCTTCCATCATTCGTTGCATAAAATAAAACAGTAGCATTCAATTGATTCTCCGGAATTGGTCCTCGAGCAAGCGCAATAAGTGGAGTAGCTGAATTTAACCATCTATCCCACCAAAACCTAGATCGATTACCATTCCTTAGTGGCCACTGGAAGAGGAATTCGGCCCATATAAATCTGTTGAGTTCCGTAGTGTTATTAGGAGGTCTCTTGAATACAGCAACCCATAATTTGTGATGAATATTTGGGGGAAGAAGCATTAGTGCATCAAGTACAGGAAATACTAGGGACATAACTAGGAAGAAGGTGAATAGAGCAGCATCTATGAGTTTGACGATCACAAGTACCTTTTGATCTTCCATTAGTTATATTGATCTTTAGTGTTAAAGAAAACACACTACTTTAATTAGGATGTTTAATATATAGTGTGACCCCAGAGATCAATATCTCTCGTATCGAAATTATTGTCTTGTTTGAATTTTTATTTTCAGTACAAATTAAATTAAAAGTAAAAATCTAAACTAAATAATAATTTTGAAAATAGAGTAGCATCTATGGGGTTGTCCCGGTCGAGCAACAAACTTGTTTTTCTTTTCGATTGGTAAGTTAGGACAATTCTATTCATTAATGTAAAAAACATCTTATATATCATCGAGAGGGTCTTACACTAGCTAGTAGTACTCATAACTATGAAATACTATCATAACAAATAATATCTCCATTCTAAAATAATTGTTTAGTTTGGATCATTGTTTATTCAGTATCTTCATCGTGTCACACTATTTTTCTAGATGATTAATCCATTGTATGTATTACCCATCCATCCACGAATTATTATTATGTGTTTTGCATTACACTTCTCATCTTCAAAATGATTTGTATAATTCTGCCGTCCTTAGTTTTGTCCTCTTGGTGGATTGTTTCGTATCTCGTCGTTTTAAAAACAATTTGTGAAATGCATCATTTTATAAGTTTTTTTTTATTGTGTTATCCTAAAATTGTAGTCATGACATTCTAAGAACACCATGAAATCAGACACAGATTGAACTTGATACCACAGTGGTGGAAAGAGGACTTGAACCTCCAACCTTGTGATTAACAATTTAAAGTTGGATGCACCAAAATTTTATTATTACCTAACAGTATCCAGTTATATTTTTTAATTGTGTTGTACTGAATTTGAAGTCTTGGTTGGTTTTGGGAAACTAGCCAGACATTTATCCATACGTATTCCGATTGTGAACTATGTTTACATGTTGATGATTCGTTTAAGACTTGGATTGGGATTTCAGTTCCTTGTTATTATGGGTTCTAAAAGGGGAAATAAATCTATTTATAAATAGGAATAGAGAGTAGTTGGTTTTGCTTCTCATCATAGCGTCTGTATTCTTCTGTAAACTTATTCGTTATTAAAAATTAGCGGGAAAAGAAAAAAAAGGCAATACCAAGATGGATTCAGGATCCAGTCTATTGGATGATGAGTATGATGACGGATGTAAGCCTCCGACTTCAATCGATGAAGATGGTCCTCTAGATTATCTAGATGCTCTGGAAGCTGAGGTTAGAGGTGGTCCGATGCTTTTAGGCAGACCTTTTCGGAAAGTCATACCTGACCACCATATACAAGCTAATCCACTCCCCCGCGGTGACGCTCTGAAATGCTATGTTTTTTATTAGTTCCCCCACGTCAATGAAGGTGCGAAAGTCTTGAATCCTGGATCCCTCAAACCTCTCCCTGGCCCTCCCCGCGAGCCGGATGATTTCAGGTATCCTGAAGACAATGGACTCCCTGCTTTAGCGATTCGTGTCCGAGATGGGCTGTTGTTTGCTGTGAATCATTGAAACGCTGGTGGGGGCCTTATTTTTCCTTGTCGCGGCGTGATTGCCACGATTTCTGGAGGAAAGGTTAACGACTGCCAGCAGTTGATGCGCGATCTGGATGCGATGGCCGCAAGGGATCGGGAAGGGTTGACTATGGGTGCGTTTTTAAAGCTAATGTTGGATAAATTGTCATCTCGGCCAGAGATAGGACTTGTTGCGGGGTGGGACTTTAAGAAGAGCCGTCATGCCTTGTATCGCGTGGACGGGAGGGGCGGGAAGATTAAAGGGAAAATTTTGGCTTCCAGTTCCGGATTTAGAGAGCTGAATTCTTCTTTGGACTTGAAGGCTCTGATTGACTTGAAAAACGTTTCCTGAGGATAAGTCTGATCTGGACGAGGCTTTGGACCATCCGTCTGAATACTGGAAATATTCCAGTTGGTCTCGTTGGTCTTGTCGGGAAGCCGCATGGTTGGTTGCAAAAGAATTAAGCTGGACTGCAGCTAATGCTGAGCACGGAGGTGATTTCATTAGTATGTTTTGTGTAGGACCTGATGGGATACGCTAGGATATCTTTCTTGATCAACCGATAGAAGTTTTTGTCAAGGACTACGCCATGCCACTTCCCCCGCGCTTTAGTAGATCATGACTTGATCAGCCCTACAACAACAAACAAACTTTTTTCTCACTAGGTGGAGCCGCATCATACGTCGCCATCGTGCTCTATCGGTGCATAAATTAGATAAATTTATTGGTCTCAAGTATTGTAATTAGATGTTGTATTTGAGTGAGAAGCATAGCGACATTCATTGATCTTTTATGTGTTTGAGTCACATTTTACATACTCTTACATGTTTCTATGATTAAAGTTATCATCACCCAAACAAATGGTTACAAACTCCTAATTACAGTATGAGCTGAGCTGAGCTTTTTCATTCGTTTCCTCATTTCTACCCAAACATCAGCAAAACTTAAGAAGAGAAACAACAAGATTCACCACCGACTTCAGTGTGGAAACTAGCTTGATGTGATATAATCACCAGATATGGAAGAAGTCAGAGAGCCAGCTGAAAAAAAGCACAGCAAAAATTGAAGACTAAACTCGCTCATGGTCATGGGTTGGTTCCTAACTAAACGTGATTGAGAATTATGTGTTAGACTCTGTGGGCAACGGATCTATGAGCTTTTTATCACTTTCACTAATTTAGTAGTGAAGAATTCATCAGGGAACTGAGGAAGTGAATATTGTTGATTTGTATTTTAGAATTTGTAAACCATGAAAGATACCGTCCCGGATTTCGAAATAGACGAGGATTACTCAATCCCCTGTTCATCTGTTTGCGGGGGACATGGCGGCGACGGAATAACTCGACCCAAGAAGAACCCAATGTAAGTTTCTTTGTTTTTATTACTTTTTAGATCATTAGTCCAATTCATCATATATATGGTATGTGATTTAATGGGGAAAAGAATAAGAAGCTTAAGAGAGACTTAAGAGCCATACTACAAGAAAGACCTTCCACATAGAATAAGTACTAACTACGTCCCTATGCCTTATAAATCTAAATTGTATTCGACTGTTCGAACCAAATTACAATAAACAAGACTCTTATTTGTTATTAGAAGGTTTATGGAAATGCAACCAACTCTTTGTCAAGTACACATTATGATTTTTTTAAAAAAAAAAAAAAAAACTTTCACAAATGAACACCTCATAAAATGGAAGAAGGGACCAAGTTTGGAATATTTCAAATTAAATTTTTTTAAAAAAACAAAAGGTCTTTTACATAATGATAAAGGAAAATTGTGATTGTAATCCCAACCTAACTAAAACGAAAACTATAGTCAAAACCTTAATCAAATCCACAATGGAAGTCGGAACATAAACATGTCTTGGATGGATGGTTCGGTTATTGTTCCTTGGAGCAATTCCTAAGCAAAGCACATTGGAGTTGAAGCTCCAAAATTTGCGCTTTCCTTCTCAAAGCATCGACTTCTTCTCCAAAAGTAATCAGGTCTAACTCGACTCCAACGAAGGATAAGATTAGCAGTCGTCGTTGTTCAACTAATTTCTTGAAATAACTATACTGCTGGTTCGAATCCCTCCATGTGAATATTGATGAACACTCCTGGATAAGTGCCTCGGCGGTTCTAAAACACTTCAGAAAACGATTATTCCAACGCCGCAATTCTTCACCTGAGATCTTTGTTGAGGTATTGAAATATGGCTCTAAGTTATACAAGGTGAGATGCATGCTTTTTAGGGCGTCCTCGAATGTTGCTATCTTTTGAGTGGTGAGCAATGCAAGGATGTTTTTTGTTTTATCTAATAAAATATCAGCGTTTTCAATCATGACTGCTGTATCCATGGACGATTTGACGGTGAGAAGAGAAAGAAAAGTTTGGGAATTAGGTCGCAAAGGGTTTAGAGATTGGCTGAAATTTTCTTGATCGAAACTCTAGGTTTTTTTTTGTCTTGAATGTAAGTTGATGGAAATTGTCAGCGAGTGCATATGTAATAGTAATAATCTCTTATATAGACACAAAGGTTTTGAGTGTTTGGTTAGTAAACCAATTCAGAATTTGGTAGGGTTATATTAACCAATTTGGAATTAGAATCGTATCGGAAACAGTTTCCAGTTTCGTTTAGGAGGAGAATGATTTTATTTTATTCTTTTTGATTATTATAAGGGAATTTCCCCATTATTCAATGTACTCAAATAATTTTTTTTAACCCAAAAATCAATCATTGAGTTGGTAAAATTTTGGTAGTCTCTGCTTAATTGAGTTTTCGGGGTACTTTTTGGAAAGAAAAATAAATAGAGATTTTCTTCTACATACAAAACCAATTCAACAGTACATAAAAGCTCACCAAAATGAGAATCTATCTATAAATTTTAGGAGAGTTGATGATTGAACACGTGTTGCTCAATTAGACCTTAATAAGTTCCATTGACATATATCGTTTTATAATTGGCTTATCATTAAACCATTGTCATATATCGTTTTATTATTGGTTCATCATTAAACCATAAAAATATTATATAAAAGAGTTATTCCCTTTCATTTTTACTAACTAAAAAATTAATATTGCCTATGGTGGTGTAAACTCCGGTATTGAGTCGATTAAAATTAGCCCGATTAAAAAACCACACGACATGTAATCTTTTAGAAGTTCCGTGCCATATCAATGCAAGCCCAACAAATATTTTTTCACAATTCATTGGCCCGATCTTAGCCCTAATTCTATTATCTATATATAGCTATTTTTAAGATGCATTAATGTAGTTGTTTTGGGCATCAAGTTTAGAATCAAAATCTTGATTAATTAAAAAAATCAAAATATAAAATTAAATCAACGACCTTATAAATTATAAGGAGGTATTTCATTATTTCCAAAAAAATCTTTTAATTGTATAACTTGCATGATATGTTGAGTGGCGGCCACTCAATTGAAATAATTTCGTTAACTCTAATTCTATGATTTCTTTCAGTTTTTTAGTATAAATAGGTCAACCTTTTTACGAAAAAAAATTACAAACTCCATTGCAAACTTATGCTTCGTGTGCACGAGAAGGTGGAAGTTTAGTTTTGATTGTTAATCTTTTTACTTATTTTATTCGATGCTAAATGAATGTAAATGATAGAAAAAGTTAACGTTACGATGAGAAAACAAAACATAGAAATCAATAGGGAGAAGGTTTTCCAAAAATAGAAAAAGAATAGAGGTCTTTGTAGAGACAAACAATAGAAGAAAAGCATATTTAGAAATAGAAAATAATTATATGAAGGAAAAAATTATATAGAGAATAAGAAAATATATAAAAAAAAGAAACCAAGTTAATAGTGACAAATGAAATAATTATTACAATTTTTTCAAGAAATGAAACTTTAAAGAGAGGCCATCAAATTTAGTTAAAAAAAAGGTGAACACTATACAACCAAGAAAAAAAATGAAATAAACACTATATTATAGAAAAAAATATATATATGGTTAAACTTCTAAAGAAAGGTTGCAAAAGGTATACAAATAAATGAAAAAATGAGTTTATAAAAGAAATAATGAGAAATTTTGTTAGAGAATACTTAGAGAGATTATTATGTAATATATCACAGGGGAGACATATTTAGAGAGGTCATTATAAAAGATTAAGAGAATACTTTTAAAAAGATATAAATCCAAAAATTTACAAAAATAAAAAACTGGACAATAAATTAAATTGGATGATTTTGAATGTAGAAATTTATTCCAAATGTATTTAAAATAAAAAAATACATTGACATTAAAAATTACACAATTGCAACTTATATAATTAATACTATTTTTTTACATATATCACTCTGTCTGTAATGTTATATAATCTTTAAATCATTAACCTCATATATATATATATATATATATATCTTGGATAATCCGCACAACGTGCATGGTAAACACTAGTTTTGCTAAAATCAATTTATTTCATCAACAGTTAAAAATATTATCACTGAGATCGAACATTGACTTTATTTACATTGTTAAATACTAACTATAGAAATATAGGTAGTTTTTGTTCAAGGCTTTTGCGAGTCAACCTATAAATTAGTGCAGTTGGGAAGTTGAGGGATTGTTTGGCCAATATTTTGTTTTAGTTTTTGTTTTGGTTTTTTATTTGGGTTTGAAATGTGATTTAAAATGTGGTTTGAGATAAAATTTAAAAAGTTGTTTGGGTTATATTTTAAATAAACTAATAATATTTTTAGACTACCACCAGACCACCTCCACCATCGCCGCTGGCGGGCGGTCCGGTGGCGGCGGGTGATGGTGGAGGTGGTCGGTAGTGGTATATGAAAATTGTGTAAAAATAAATTTTGGAATATTTTTTAAAAGATAAATTAAAAAGTTGTTTGGATAGTATTGAGATTTGTGTTTGAGAGATGTTTTAAGAGTTAAAATGAAACAAAAATGCAAAATGTAAGTTGGCCAAATAAGCCCTGACTTTCCTCTGTGCTTTGATAGAACGTTTAAGGCGGATTCTAATAGCTCATTAGAGCCTTTGTACATATTTACTCAATTTTTACAATCGACTAAGTACCTATTTAGAAAAAAAAAAAAAAACACCTTTAAATTAGTGCGTAGTGGTAAGTTTTATTCTATGGTGATGAGAGTCAATAATTTATACAGAATTGCAACATAAACTATTCAACGCTTTTCTTCGCCCAAGGAGAAACTATAGTATGCGAAAGGCGCGACTCCTGTCACGGACCAATTAGAGAAAAACACGTATCACATCGAAACAAGTCAGCACCTTCGATGATCCACGTGTTCCTTTCCTAATTGCCATTTGCACCACCCCGAATCACAGCCCGTTACTTCTGCCTTACACTCGTCCCTCATAAATTGTAACAACCGGTTTTTGTAGATTATCGTGAACGCTTCGTTCCATGGAATGAAGTGTCTTAATTTTGATAATCTTTTCCTATCCTGACACACACAGTCACGCACCATATAATCTTTAGAATCCCTTTTTTCCCTGTAATTTATCCTAATTTGTTATTGATTTTTTTTTCCCTGTTGTTGTTGTTGTATCAAAATTCATTTTGCAAAATAGTTTAGAATATTATTATTGGGAAGAAAAAAGAAAAATTGGGAAATCAGGGTTGAAATTGGTGAATGAACAGAGAGGGGGTTTGGGGATTAGAATACCGGTAGAGTAATTAGGGAAGGGGGAGAAAGAAGAGTGTGAAGTCGGAGAGATTGGAGGCGGCGGCACAACATGTCTGCCATAGTGTGCGGCAAGAGATCAAATTTTTTTGAAGATTTGCCATCGTCGCCTTCTTCTTCCTCATCGCCGCCGCCGGTTTCTTCCAAGAGGATTCGCTGCTCTTCTTCTTCTTCTCCTGTTCGATTTTCGCCGCCTAGGTCCGCAGCAGGAACAGGAGCAGCGGGGGCCTCTTTGTATTATTTGTCTTGTAACAATAACAGTAATTTATTTGCAGCTGGTGATTCATCGGCTCTTGATCATCTCATCGCTCTCTTTCCTGGTATGGACAAAAAGGTATGCTTTTTTCATTTATCTGTAGTTTCTATGCGAAATGAATTTAAAGGGTTTTTAGGTTTTTGTTTTTTTAATGTCGGATGTGTAAGAAAGATGTCTTCTTTGTTCATTTGATGCATTTCATACCATCCACAGATGATGGATGCAAATTCTAGGTGAGGATTTGTAATGAATTGTCGGATTACATTTGTATTACCTATCCATTTTCAAAATAGCAATTCACAAAATGGAAGAGCGAACACATGGACTGAAGACCGGGAAATGGTGGAGAATGTTGGGTTTTATTAGTTTTGTGGTAAGGGAGATTTCTTGCGTCCAATGCAATCGACATTGCGGATGTTGCTGAACCAGTTAATAATATTGGTAGTTAAGCTCTTGGAAGTTGGAACCCCTCACAATTTCGTCTCCCAATCGCCAGGGTTTGTTTCATGATTAGGCTGTCTCAAGTATAACTGATACATGGTTATAGTTGGAGCCTTAATTGAAGCCCTGATCAATACATTGTAGTTTCAACTTAAGACTAAACAGTGATTTGTTCTTACTTGTTTGAGTCTTTTCTGATTCATATGTGGAGTATCTGAATAGAAACTAAATACCATGTCTTTGCTCCTTATCAAGACATGAGGGAAGAGTGATGAGTTTATTGTCGATTCACGAGTTTGGTTGTCTAGATGATTTGATGCCTAACGAGGGAAGATGGTTGTGCATGCTGCTTTAGTACATGAGATACTGAGTTTTCGTCTGTTGGAATCATGAAAGGCATGTTACTAGAACCATTTTGTTGTTCTCTTTAAGCGGCCACTATCAAAAAGTGATCGGGAAGTTATTGTTACCAAAATTATTAGAGCTCTAAAATGGGTTAAATTGGGATATAATATGAGAATATCATCAATAATCAATCTGATCTTGGTTTTCCAAGCTGTAAGCATTTCTTTTAATGTCTTGGTTTTACCCATATACCACCTAAAGTGCCTACTCTTGGATTACAGTACAAATCTCTCTTTTGATGTTGTGATTAGAACATTAAAAGAATTTTGTAACAATCAAATTCCTAGCTCTATTAACTTGGTAGGTTTATATATTTGGAATATTTGACAAGTTGTTAGTTATAATCATTAATTATGAATCTTTGTCGTTTATTGAATCCTACTTAATGAGATATTATTATTCGTCGTTCTTGTAACGACTCCAGCTGGTAGTATAAGAACTTGAGATAGCTAAATCTGGGTATTCTGTAGAACTATTGTTGAACACTGACGGATTATAAGCTTAGGCGATTGGATATGGTAACCATCCTCATAATCTTCTTACATGTTTCAAAGTACAGAATTCTTCATAACCGTTTGGTTTTCCAAATGTGATCATTTTTCGCCCCGGGAAGATGCACTTTGGAGGACCTCCGAACCATGTGATTTATTTTATCGGTTGAATATATCAGAATAAAAATTTCTTCTTGAGCGTGCTGATGAACTCTCTGTGTTGGGGAGTTCTTTGGTTTTATTTTCCCATGTCTGCCAATTTTAGCAATCTGTTAACTGGAATACCAGTGAAGAGTTCTCCAGATTAACTCTCCACTGTTAAATTTTAATTCTAATGGTCATTCCTTGATAGTAAGGTATAACTGTCCTTAAGTCAGTTTGTATATTTTTCTTTCTAGCCCCCAGATTTTGAGCCATTAGACATTCGTATGTTCTGGCATGATTACCTCTGTGTCATAGTGTACAATTAATGCTGGAAAAATGCTTTCTTGCAGTTACTCGAGCAAGCACTTGAAGCATGTGGTAACGATCTAGATTCTGCTATAAGAAGCCTAAATAAGCTTCGGTTGAATTCTGGGGAAACTATGGGATCTGCTGGTAGCAATGGAGAGGCGGAGTTCCGTAATCATACCCGTCATTCAAATGAAGGTAAGGTTGTGTAACTTTATATTACTCAATTTCATGAATGGAAAAATTTTTATGGTAATTCCATTTGGTGGTCCATGTAGCAAGTAGCAAGACTTGGGTTGGTCCTTGTAAATTAATATGTTTGTAAAGTAGGAAAATGTCATTTAACGGAGTCATTGTGCTGTTGAGTAACCTACATAGAGCAGCGAATGGATACAGTAGGTGCTCCACTTTCAGAAATGAGAAATGTGGTGTTATCATGTGCAGGAACAAGCAATGGTGAGGCTGCCCCTGCACAGGATCCATTAGCTGCTAAAAACCTTTCCATGGACAATGTTGAATGGGTGGAGCTATTTGTTAGAGAAATGATGAGTGCTTCGAATATAGATGATGCCAAAGCTCGTGCATCAAGAGCCCTTGAAGTATTGGAGAAGTCCATCCTGGTGCGGGCAGGTGCAGAGGCAGTGCAGAGCATTCAGCAGGTGCAGACGTCCATCCTACTGTTTACACATTTGTTTTGAAGGAGCATGTTGCTTTGCTGTTCTTGTTGGTTCATGTTACCTATTGTATTTTATTTTTTTATCTTTCATGATTCATTTTGAAAGAAGTTGAAGTCGCTGAAATATTAGTAACAGGGATTTTTGAACTCATTGTCTTGCTTTTGTGATCATCTAGGAGAATGTCATGCTAAAGCAACAACTTCAGGCACTGATACAGGAAAATAATGTGTTGAAGAGAGCTGTTTCCATCCAGCATGAGCGACAGAAAGAGTTTGAAGATAAGAACCAGGAGTTGCATCAGTTAAAGCAGCTTGTGGCTCAGTATCAGGAACAGCTAAGGACACTTGAGGTGATTATTGTACTCGAAATTCTGTCTGCTAGACTGCTGTTCTTTGTTCAGTTTATGGATCTTATTATTTGGTGTTAAACCTTTCGAATTGGTAAAACCTTTTGAATTGTTTATTTTTGGTTGCTTTTTGGTAATTCTGAGGATTAGTGTTCTTTTCCAGTGCATTGACAATATCTTTATTGTTTCCCGTGTACATCAGGTCAATAATTATGCTCTGACAATGCATCTGAAGCAGGCTCAGCAAAACAACTCAATTCCAGGGCGCTTTAACCCAGATGTCTTTTAGTAAATCTGTTAGATGCCACATCTCTATAGAATGAGAGTGTAATATGAGTTAATACTCTTTCCTTGGAATTTAGATGTTTTGCAAAACGAATCGGTGGCTTAGAGGTCGCCTCTTGGATGCTGAATGGTTGTTTGTAATATTTGTTTAAAATAATATATTTGCTGATGAATGTTATTTGAATGTGTTGCGTAATTTTCCAAGGGATGGGAAGAACTGCATTGTGGGTTGTTTTTCTACCCTGATAGGCTGGTATTATTATGTTGGTTTAATCCAATCCTCCACCTTTTAGCTTTTCCTCATTGTTTTTGGTACAGGTTTAGATTTCTCGTTTTGAATCTCTCGAATGCTGACAGCTTTTAAGCTCACAACTATTATTCAAGAACAGAATTCTTTATTTATGTAGAACTGGAAACACTATTTCAGTACAAAGGCACAGGGAAAACATCTTCGACTGCAGTAATTTGGTGGAGTGTATGTCTTTTTTTTTTTTTTTTTTTTGAGAAAGAGTGTATGTCTTTCTTTAGGAAAGCAATGCTGTTAATGGAGGACTGTGCAGGAAGTGGGTTTCTCTTTCGTGGCGAACATTGATGGTGAAGGACAGAAGGTTTGAATAGTTCTAAAAGAAAGAAAAAAAAAAAGGTGAAAATGAAAAGGGATGGTTTTGCTAATATAGTATTACCTATTTTAGGGTTATTTTTGTATTTTTTTCCTCAAATTATAACGGAGTTTTAGTGATTAGATTTTATTATTTTATTAATGAATTAACATAATTAGGTTAAAATGAACTGAATTGGACCAAATTGGCCAGAAAGTTGAACTATTCTGATAAAATTGGTTTCTTAAAATTGCCAGAATCCGGAAGTTTTAGATCAAATTGAACATTTCCTCCAACATAAGAGTTTGTACTTGTGGAAGAAGGGTTCACAGTTCATACTTCATAGTGGTCCATCACTCTACATCTCCATCCCAAACGAATTGAATTGAAGAAGGAAACAACATTCCTTTCCCCATCAAAGATGAAAAGGAGTTTTTTTTTTTTTTTTTTATCCTTGTGTATTTTAGCAGTAGAAACTTTATTGTCTTATTCGTTCGTGGAATTATAAATTTGAGAGCAATAAACTCAAGAAAACAACTTTGCTTTATTTCCATTTTAATAGTGGGTTAGTTGCTATGTTTGCATTTGTCAAATGAATTTGTAATCTTGAGTCGTGTAAGTGTAGAAATGCGTCAATATCCTCATTAGTTGTCGCTGCGCGTTTAGTCAAAGATATTAACTAATCAGATATTTACATATTTCAACTACTCTGGAAAACAAAAAAAAAAAAAAAGTGAACGTTGACAGATCGGCCGATCAATTCAACACGCCGGAATCTGAACAGATATGCAAACTTTCTGATACTTCTTTCACCAATATGTCAAAAACAGCAGCAATAGCTAATAATGCTTAAAGAGAGATTTTAAAGTGTTGTAAACCAATAAAATGATCTTCTTCTTCTTCTTCTTCTACTGCTAGTCAAAATCTATGGCCTAATAGAGCTCTGTACAGTTGTGTGATTCAAGTAGTTGATGATGATGATGATGATGATATTGTTGTTCCTTTGGCTAAAGAGGAAAAGAAAGAAAAAAAGAAAGAAGAAATGCAAGAAGCAATAACAGTAAGTAATATACTAAAACTAAATCTAAGAAATGGGGACAAGCCTGTGACCAGATTTCATCATCTTCTTGAACTCATCAAAGTTAACCATTCCATCTCCATCCATGTCCACCTTTCTGATCATTTCCTTACAGTCTTCCACCTTGTTCCCCTGTTTGAATCCCAAAGAAGACAGCACCAAACCCAATTCTTCCACTGTGATTACCCCATCTTTATCTCCATCAAACACATCAAAAGCTTCCTTCAGATCCTCATCCCCATCTTCATCATCACCATCATCATTGTTATTAATATTATTATTCCCATCCATTTTCCCCTGTTTTTCATCACTCCCTTCTTCCTCTCCTCCCCTGCTCAGCAAGGAATCAAATGATTGGCAGAACTCATCAAGATCAATCAAACCATCCCCATTTGAATCAACCCTTTTAATCATCTCAGCAACATCGCTCTCACTCATAACAATCCCAATGTTCTTCAGTGAATCCTTCAACTCTTGCTTCGTTATGAACCCATCATTGTTCTTGTCAAAAGTAGAGAAAACACTCCTCAATTGACTCTTGTTATCATAACAACTACTCTTCTTCTTCTTTCCAGTTCCACCATCTTCATCTGGTTTAATCTTATTGGCCTTCGTCGACGCATTTGAAGCAGCAGCAGAATCAGAAGTGGAAATAACAGGGTTCATGGGATCTCTCAATTCGGCACAAAATGACCCAAAAAACCAGGCAAGAAACTTCTTTCTGGGGAAGTTTACAGTACTGATCAACCCAGCAATAAAGAGGAAAACAAAGAATAAGATGGTTGTCCACATCTTCTTTCTTCTATATATTTGGATGCAACAGAGAAGAAGAAGAAGAAGAAGAAGAAAGTAGTACTAACAGAGTACTGGAAACCGTACAAGAAGGAGGATTCGAAGAAGGAGGAGGAAAACAACAAAGACTTTTAAATTTGTTGTTGGAATGTAAGATCCGTTGAAGAAGCAAATCAAAATCATAGGAAATTTTTTTTAAGAGCATTAAAGAAGTAACGCGTTTTTGGGTGGTGGGGATGATGAATAAAGAATACAGAATAACAGAAAAGGAAAAAAGAAAAAAACAGAGAAGTTTGGAATCTGGAGATGGATTGATCCCACAAACCGCGTGAAACCGTAATAACGGATGAAAAAAATTGAAATACTGAACTCATATTATGCCTTTGTGTCGACTTAGATGATGACAAGTGTCAGATTAAAAAATTTCTTGTTTGGCTAATATTTGGTTTTAATTTTTGATTTGGGTTTGAGATGTGATTTAAAATATAGTTTGATAGAAAATTTAAAAAGTTATTTAGGTAATATTTTAAATAATCGAACCACCTCCGACGCCGGTCTGGTGGTGGTGTAAAAATAATGTTTGAAATAAATTTTAAAAAATAAAATTAAAAAGTTGTTTGGATAGTATTGGATTTTGTGTTTGAGATGTGTTTTAAGAGATAAAATGAAACAAAATCTAAAATATGGTGTTGACCAAACAAGACCTTATTTACTGCTTTGTTTGTGCTCTTTCTTTATTGATGTAATAAAGGACGGCACTGATTTTGACAAATATGGAGTATATTTAAGTGTACGTTTTCTTAAGTCTGCATTCCTCAAGTAACATAACCTATACAAGTTATGCGGTAATCAAAACGAACATTCAAAATGCTCCACACTTTGAAACTGTTAAAGTTCTCTCATAAAATTCGAACCATCAAGTTCAATGATATGTTATCCTTATCGTTGAACTTAAGGAACTATCAAAGAGATCGTGTCATTCTGAATAATAACTTGCATTACTACTAGAAAGTGTATTTAGAACAAAATAATATAGAAGCTCGGAATAAGTTTTTTTTTTTTTTCCCATCAAATTCAAATATGAATTATTAAAATGTTTGTTGAGAATAGAAACATACTAGAATTGCCAATTTGGTGGAACATGTCCTAAGGGGGTTTTAGGTTTAAAATTGGGTGAGGCGTGTAAATGGGATGATGTATAAAAAGTTGGCGTGGGCGAACTAAGCATTTGGTCTGATGATTATGATTATGGGTGTGCTGTCTTCAATTATCCTACTACAAGTTTTCCCTGGCAGTTGGGCTGTGTTGGGGGAATGATAATTCATAAATGGAGTGAAAAGCAAAAAAAGTTTATGGTACCACTTCTACAATTTGATACCTTAAAGCATCTCATGCGAGAACCCTATTCTATTGCAATTTGCGACAGGAAAAATTAATGTGGAGTATATGGAATCATTTTTCCTTTTTGTGGAAGTGCGAAAAGAAATGTTATTAATTTGATTCCTTATTTTTCTAGATTATGGATTTTTATTATAATGTCTCTTTATGAATTATTTCATCTGTCCTAAAATTATTGTCCACTTTGAGATTTCATTTTTAGTACAATTTAAATTAGAAATAAAAATCCAAACTGGACAATAATTACGGAACGGAGGAAGTAAAAGTTAACTGATAAACTCAAGCTCAAGATGAGTTAATTGTGACCGTGGGGCTTTTTTTTTTTTTTTTAAGGTTGTATGAAGTTCTGGTAATGGAGGAATAGGAAAGCATTTTTCATTGTCGAATTAATATCGGGCCATCAACCGCGTGAACATTGGTTGCATCCGATACGTTCCTTCAGGTGAAAGCTTACAAAACAGTAAATTTATTGAAATGGATACCCGAATTGGCATAAGAGCGTCTATGCGAGTTTATACTATTTTTTGTATGAATAATGTCACTTCGGCTCTAGTCCTTATTATAAGATATTTTGATTTGTCCTAAATTTTAACCAGTATATTTTATAATTGAAAAAAAACTTAAAAATATTTTTTAATAATTAAGAAAATACAACGGATGCGAAAATGTAATACTAAAACTTTTTTTTTCAATCGAAAAAACATATTAGATGAAATTTAGGAAAAACTAAAACGGCTAATTATAATAAGAACCAGAGGGAATATCATAATTTTCAATATTACATGTTCATTCAACTTTTCACCATATTAGTGTACACTGTAAAAATGTGATAAAATAAAATAGCTATTGTAAAATTTTGAACCCACATTAATTACGTGTTAATCCAACACATTGTATTATATAATGTAACCATTCTTATACCATTATAATGAAGTGATTATTTACTTATTATTTATCATTATTGTGGATCTTCTACAAGTTCCTCTTCCTTCCTATTTTTTTCCTTCGTATCACATGGTGTAGTTCACAGTTCCTATAAACTACTCATTTTAGTTGCTAAATTACGCTCTCTCTGTCCTAAACTAATTACTCCCTCTGTCCCAAAATTATTGTCCAGTTTGAGATTTCATTTTTAGTACAATTTGAACTAAAAATGAAAATTCAAACTGGACAATAATTATGGGACGGAGGGAGTATTTAATTTGAAAATTCACTTTTAGTAGAGAAAATACTAGATACTACTTCAGTAGACGTAATAATTGCAAAAAAAAACTTCTCAAAAAAAATTGCAAAAAAGAACTTTAAGATTACACCAATTAGCACTGCATCATTAGGGAATTTCAAAAATCCGAAGAGCCCAAATAAAGCCCAATAAAAATCTCTATTGGGTTTTAAGCCTTCTACACATGCACCCAGTCAATTTTATCAAAACTTTGGGATTTTACCAACTTTTAAGGAGAAAAACTTTCATCAGCTTTCTTTCTAAAAAATATATAATGCAGGCTACAGGTTCAAATTATCCAAGGGGACGTGGAATTAAATTGAGGGCCCAAGATACTAAAGCCCAATTTGGTAAGTAGTTTCAACTTTCAAGTAAATATCCTAGTAAACTTGTCCCTAACATCAGTAGAAGGAAACAATGCACCAATAATTTGAAAGAGGACCGCTATGTGCTCAAAAAGAAATGCACATTTTGGTAGGAATATAATAATTGATGGCACATTCTGTGACATATTTCAGATTAGCCCTTCATCAAACACTTATCTTTCTGATTCCTAATAGCTGCTCCCTCTTCTTCGACTTTGTTTTTTGATTTACCTCCGGCAGCTCTCGAAATTCTCGTTGTTTAAGGGCTTGTTTGCGCAACACTTATTTTGTATTTTTGTCTCATTTTAAATCTTAAAACACCTCTCAAATACAAATCTCAATACTATCTAAACAACTTTTTAATTTACCTTTTAGAAAATATTTTAAAAATTATTTTTACACAATTTTCATACACCACCACCGGACCACGTGGTCCTGGGTGGTCTAAAAATATTATTAGTTTATTTAAAATATTACCCAAACAGTTTTTTAAATTTTATCTCAAACCGCATTTTAAATCATATCTCAAATCCAAATAAAAAACTAAAACAAAAACTAAAACAAAATGTTGGCCAAACAAGCCTTAAAAGTTCAAAATCGCGCATCCTACAATCCCCGTCATGCACCCCCAAAACCCACCCCCGAACTCTATTTTCGACCTCCGTTTTTGAGCCCTGCATGTTGCGCCTGCTACAACCGCCGACCGTGGATTCGAAGACAGCATTGTTTTCTTGGCCAACAACAAATTCGAAGCTCCCCAACTGCCGCCAATTTGCCCGACACAGATCTAGCGCTACCTTGTCAATCCGGTTCTAGCGCAGCTGGGATTCAATAATCGAACGCGGACAGAAGATATGGTGGGTTCGTGTGCTGCGATTGGAGCTTACTGCTGCTGAATTCGTAAGCCTTAGCCGGGTTTTCTGGGTTTGATACTTTACTAGCTATGCTTTTATTGGATTCCAGTTAAGCTACCATTAGATTTTGGTTCTTTGGGGTTTTTTTTTCAATTGCCAATCTCTGCATAACCTCATGTTTGTCATAATCTGTAATTTCGGCTTCCGTAAATTTGGCACCCCGATTTTGAAATTTGGCTGCTTTGTACTGGTGAATGGTCGGGCTGAATTTTGGTGCACTGTTTGGAGTTGTGTACTCTGGTGATTGAAAGTTGTGGATTTAGCATTTGAGCTAATTTTCAGTCTACCACTGCTGTTTAATTATGGAAGAATTGAGGGTATCTTCTCATGGCAAGGTTAGCAAATATATATCTTTTGCTAAGTGTCTATTAGAACAAAATCCTTCTATGGAACTTACAGCTTTGGGTATAGTTATTCCGAAAGCCATAGGGACTAGTGAGTTACTCAAAAGTTAGCTGGAGAATCTCCAACAAATTGTCAAGACTTCCATGATGAATGGGGTTTCCACAATTATTATAACCTTGACCTTGAGCTCATCTAATGGCATGAGAGATCAAAATCCAGGTCGCTCAAAGAAAGATAGTCGTCGGAGAAGAGAAATGTCAACACCAGTCCATGTTTTAATCCAGCTACTACCAAAGCAGAGTATAACAATGGAGGAAAGTTTCCTCTCCTTCACGTAGGGGTGGTTTTGCTACTAATACTGATTCTGTTACTGTTTCTCGGTCATTCCCATCGGCTTCAACAGACAAGGATCATGATTACCTGGGCAAGGTGAAGGAATGCACTCTGTTGGATACTATTGGAGGAGAAGCTAACCAAAAGGTGAAGGAATGCACTATGTTAGATACTATGGAGTGTGAAACTACTGAATTGGTGGCAAATGGAAAGGCTGCGAAATAACACTACCAAAAATCATAAAATGTCCACACTATCAAGTCAGTTGGAATGTCCATACAGAGTTGATGGCGCCGTACGTCTTCCACGAAAGCAACGAGGTAATTCTGCTCCACACATTAGCTCACCTTGGTTAACTGGACAGAAGAGGGGATTAGATCTTTTAGAGGTGGTTGAGACCTCAAAGAAACACAGACTTGCTTTCAAAGGAGGTAACTCACTACTGACTCCTCTGGTAATGCCTTTAAAGGTTACTTTGGGTATGTTTGATAATGTGTTTGCTAATGGCTTTGTATCAAAATCTGAAAATGGTTTTTGCAGTGATTGAACCAGAACAACCGCCTTTGTTAATATGAAAATTCTATCTTGGAACTGTCGAGGCATGAATAATGCCTCATCTAAGCATATAATAGGTAGGTTAGTTAAACAATATAAGGCTAGTATTTTGTTTATTATGGAAACTAAGGCTAATAGAGATCATGTAGAGGTATGGCAACAAACTACATCTTTTAGAATTCAGTTATAATAGACCCAGTAGGTCTTAGTGGGGGTTTAGGTCTATTTTGGATTGATGGTGTGCAGGTCAATGTGCTTTTGCAGAATTCAAATGTGATAGTAGCTAAAGTCTGTGAGGCTACTGGATTAGAATGGTTAGCTATTTTTCTGTATGGCCCTCCTCCCCAGCAAGACAGGACAAAATTTTGGACGCAGCTGAATGCCATCATTGGAGGCTTAAATCATCCCAGTGTTATTTTAGGAGACTTCAATCAAGTAGTCAATCAGGAAGACAAGTTTAGAGGTCGACAAGTCAGGGAGCAAGATACGAGGAAAATTCAACAATTCCTCTCACAGAATGACCTGGAAGAATTGAAGCGTTTAGGTTGCTGGTACACTTGGACCAACAAAAAAAACAATCAGGATGCTATTTTTGAAAGACTTGACAGAGCTTTTATCAACAGACAGTGGTTATCTTATTTCCCCAAGGCAATCATCAGAAATCTTCCCATTATGTCTTCTAATCATGGTCCCATTTTGATTCATCTCAAAAACAAATGTCAAAGGACAAGGAAAAAGAAGAAGTTTGAACAATTCTGGACTAACTGTCCACAATCATCTCAATTGATCCAAACTACATGGACTCAGGAAGGTTTGCAGATTGATGATCATCAAGAGAGTCTTTCTTACAAATTGAGTAGCAGTTTGACTTTACTTCATAGGTGAAGCAAGGATCGGTTCGGAAATATCGACAAATTGGTCCTTAAATTGACATATCAACTCACAACCATGCAACCCATGTGGGAGTCAAATCAAAGTGATAATGTTCTTTTCCTACAACTGCAGCAACATAGAAGTGAATTGGAGGAGGTTTTACAACACCAACAGGACTACTGGCAACAAAGAGCAAAACTTATTTGGCCTTTGCAGGGTGATAGAAATTCCAAGTTTTTTCATAAGTGGGCAAACAGGAAAAAAGGAAATAAATGGATCATAGAGCTAAAAACTGAAGAAGGGGAATGGCTTCAATGTCTAACACAAATGGGGAATTTGCTCTTGCAACACTTTTTCTGCTCTTGCAACACTTTTTCTGGTTTAGATAGAACAATATGCAGCTTTTTCTAGTCAAAATATCAACTTCCTCAAATCTTCCATTCTGCTGAGCTCGAACACACCTCCGCAAATGAGATCCTTTATTCATACTACCTTGCAAATCCCTGGGGGGCAATTCCAAAGCAAGAACTTAGGCAAGTCATTGGATTTCAAAGAGAAAAAGAAGCTTATATACCAAACTTTTACCTCCAAATTGCGAAACAAATTTGCTGATTGGAAGACAAAGCTCCTTTCTCTTGCTGGGAGGCTAACTCTTGCAAAGTCAACTCTATCAGCCATGTGGGTATACCCAATGGGTGTTTTCAAACTTCCTGCTTCAACATTACATGAAGAAGATCGCATTGTTTCTCAATTTATCTGAAAATGGGATAGCTCAAATAGAGGAATACACTGGAGGTCTTGGAAGAAGATAAGCAAATCTCAATTCCGTGGAGGACTTGGATTAAAATCTACTAAGGAATTTAATCAAGCATTTCTAGCCAAGCATACATGGAAAATATTGTCTGTTCCAGAGTCTCTCATCTCAAGACTTTATAGAGCCAAATATTGTAGAAATGGTGGTTTTCCTCAACTGCAACCTCCAAATAACTCATCTTGGGGATACAAAATCATACTCTGGGGAATGCAACTCTTAAATCAGAATATAAAGTGGGATGAGATTTCAGGGAAAGACATCAACATTGCAGATGATTATATTCGTAACCATCTTAATCCGATCTCTGGAGATTCATTTGTGGCTACCCACTCCAATCTCCGTGTTAAAGATCTGATCCGCCCAGATGACCAGTAGAAAATTTAGTTTCTCAGAAGACTCTTTCCGGACCACATCATATTCATACATCACAGCTATCTTTATTGACCCGGACAGGAATCAACAGAATGATAGACTGCAATGGACCAAGACAGAGCATGGTATCTATACAGTCAAATCTGGGTATCATATCACCACAAATTTGACCAATGTTGAATCTAGTCAACCTCAAAATCACCTACAAGATGAAGTGACAGCTTGGAAATGCTTGTGGAATTCCAAAGTCCAACCAAAGCTGAAACTACTCTTCCGTAGAGCTGTTCTCAATGCTCTTCCGACAAGAATGGGCTTGCAAAAACGAGGAGTGGAAGTTGATATAATGTGCCCTCGTTGTGGCTCGCATGAAGAAGATTGTTTACATCTTTTTTCAATTGTCCCAATTCTCAAGCCATTTGGAGCTTTGCATATCCTTCGTACCAATCCAACCTTAATTGCACTAATGCTTCCTTACTTGAGTGGTACATCCAATGAATTCAGACTCGCCCCTTCTCAGCTGATATAGACTTGTTTTTACTCATCTTTTGAAGAATATGGGCAAAAACAAGACCATTAATCCAGTCATCTCTTGGAGGATCATTCAAAGTGAATTGATGTAGCATAAGCACGCTCAACAGAAGTTGAGATCCCCTCAACCTCACTCTGCTACAAATCATATGTCCTCCACTATGACTCAAGAGACTAGAGGTACACATGCAACAATTCACTTTGATGGTTCCTTTCATTCACGAACTAGGAGGGCAGCTGGTGCATGGAAGACCACTTCTTCACTAAGTATGGTTATGCAAATAAAGTCGATCTCATTGCAGGCACTCTCACCTTTCTAAACGGAAGCCATGGCATGTCTTATGGCACTCCGAGAAGCATCACCACTTGGCGTTATATCTGTCAAAGTGTATAATGATTACGAAGTGTTGACGGCTAATATGAGAAATGCTCTTGTTCCGAGTGAGGCACAAGAGATGGTTTCGCTACTATTAGCTTTATTCCCAACCTTTGAATCCTGCCAACTGATTAAAGTTAGCAGGAATGAGGTTGGAGAATTACATAATTTAACTTATAATACATGTCTTTGTAATAATTTAGATACTTCTAATTAATATATAGGTACCATTTAAAAAAAAAAGATGGCACATTGTGGTAGGGATTAAAAAAAAAAAATTGACTTGAATTTGTCACACTAACACAACTAGTAATGTCTAATACACCAGCGTCCCGGTGAAGCATTTGAATTTTATTAATTATAAAACAAACATCTCAGTCATTTTTTGCCTCTATCTTTGCTTCAAAAATAGATATTCCTTTTGACCCAAAATTATTATTACTTTAGATTTTCATTTTTAATATAATAATTTTTAGCTTAGAGTGAGTATAATAGATGTTTTCGTGATCCTTTTTACAATGGTTTTGATTAGAATTATTGAGTAACATTTTCCAGGGCTTGTGCAAGTTAATTGCTAGTTCTTTTTCTTTTCTTTTTTTTCTTTCCGATGAAATAGAAAATTAGCCAGTTGTACATGTGTGCTGTGATTTATGATGTAAAATGGGTCCGATAACAATAGTGTGTGGGATTGGACCCTTCGGTTCTGCAAAATTTTGCACTAAGATCCAACTGCTTCCACAGCCCAACTGTTCCTTTTGTCGAGAAAAGTGGACTTCACCCCAGCTCTGCAGCCCAGAAAAATGGCCCCCATATGATTCTGATCCAGATAGGATGAAAGAAGACGACACCTGGAAATTTCAATTATCAAATTCGTCTCATCCCTTGTACATTTTGATTCCCTTTTTAGGCCGATAAGGATTAAGGGATGCCATTCCTTTTTTTCCCCTAAATGTAAATATTCAGTTTTTTTTTTGTTTCAATAATAAAATTAACTTATGCAGGAAAGTAGTTCCTGTCAGAATTAAGACCATTTTATCACGTAATCATGTCAATGAAAAATACTACATACTTTAAACAAGACAATTATTTTAGGACGGAAAGATAACTAGCCGATGAGAACTGAGTTACGTCAACTAGCGTGTAATTTATAAGACAGTTTACCTTAAAAACTTACCAATTTCATGGCGATCGCTTGTCTTGACTCTTGAGTTAAACTATACTATCGTTGAACAGTTTATTTTTTCTCTGGCAAAATTTAAATTACTGAATATGAATAAGAATTCATTCGACGAACGAGTCGTGGGAATATGTAGCTCTGTGATAGAAGTTATGATTAATATTTTACTCCCTACGTTCCAGAAAAATAGTCCACAATGAGTTTTCACATTTGTACTAAAATTAGTACAAATCTCAAAACTTAATATGGACTGTTTTTTTGGTATAGAGATAATAATAACAATATAGTCCAACATTTCAAACTTTATTAATCCTAAATATCATTTAATTTAAATGTATATATATATATATATATATTAAAGCCCGCTGTTCATACCGACCCTTTGAAATAGTTACTGCGGATAATGTTGGTGATGGACAAATAAAACAATGTACAAAATTTGGTAACAGTAAAAAGGGATGAATCGATCAGGAGTAGCAGAAACTATTCATCCTGAACGATGGATGTGGTGATGAAAAAGGAATGAGATT